AAGACTGTTTAGCACCTCGCTTTATTCACATTCCCTCCACAAAAATGGAGAAATTCATGACAGATCTGGAGAGAACGAAATGAAAGCTTGCAAAAACCTTGGGTGCCAGAAAAAGATAAAAGCTTCAATTACTAAAAATGATGAGTGTATTGATATAATATGAAATATTTCTTGAGCATCAAATCAGCATATTAGAATGATTTCTGATGGATCATGTGACACTCTAATGATGAAGAGGCCATCACAGGAATAAATTATATTTTAAAGTATATTCTAATATATTAGAATATATTAGTGTGCCTTGATGAGCATAAAAGAGCATAAGAGACTGAGACTGAATGGTAATGCACATTTGATGATGCGCATCGTATTGTATTGCTAAAGTACAGTAAGATCAAAAGCAAGTAAAATAGAAGAGAAATGATTTCAAAGTATAACCGCCTAAAAATCAAGACTTCAGCGAGCATCCAACCCAAGCACTTGGTCCCCGATGAACGATAAAAGCACATAATCTCTGAGGTTAATAACGGATGTAATTCTCAGGGTAATTACCAGAATCATCAAGCGCTCTTTGAGGAGCAGTTGACACAACTACCAATTACGTAACTCGATAATAAGACAGTCGTTTCCTCCGAAAGTTATGATGTCAGCCGACGGGAAACTTGAATATAACACAGGTCGAACGCCGAGCCTCAGCGACTGACTGAAAGAGGCATAACGATTATGAGTGTGTGTGTAGACGGCAGGAAACATCAAGAAAGTCAGTTTGAAGCAGCGAGAGGAGTGATAAATCTCAATACTGACTCCCAAACCCAAAGTCTCCGCCATCTGTTGAATTATGCAACACCCTTCATGAGATTTTCAGCACATGGGATAATTACAATTACAAAGTCATTGAAACTCAGACTGAGAAAATATTGCCTTTACCCAAGTGTGGGCTCTAACTTTTTTTTGGTTGGATTGGGGGGGGGGGGGGGGGGTTGGGGGGCACGGCGCATAATGAAGGGGAATAAAAAAAGATCTGAAAGTTTCACGTTCGCAAATGCCCTCATTAATATTTCACCGCGATGGATGGCGGGAATAAAATCGAACTTCAGACTCGTTTTGCAGTGTCACTTCCTCAAATGAATGAATCCATCAAGCCCTGCACATAAAGCACGACGTGAAGCGCTCTCTCGCTGCGGCGCGGGTGGCGTGGGCTAAACCGGTGAACGGGGGAGAGCAGAACAGCATCTGGCACCTCAATCCGTGCGACCTTTCAGAAGAGGAAAAGATCAAAGCCATTAGAGCAGGGAGAGGAAGACGCATCAATCAGCGCGTTTGTGTTTTCATGCACACGCAAGTATTAGGAGCGGGGCTGATTGCAGCTGCCATTTTGGAGACAATTAACATCGAGGCTGACATTTTGTTTGAAGAGTTTGGATACTGAGACGGGTTTGAGAGGTGTTGGAGAGGGACCGTCGAGCCAAGAAAAGCAGACCCTACCGTTTTTTGGGCTGCGGTGAAGCTTTCAGCAAAAAAAAAAAAAAAAAAAAAAAAAAGCACAATGACGTCGCACAAACATTCATGTTCATTCAGAACGCAGTGGACAATCAGTGTTATGTATTTGATTATATATTTAAAACATTCGTTTGAGATGTGATACTGTAGATATGCCAAACGATATTATGTCATATCATATGGTATCAATATATTAGCTAAAAACTAGATGCTCACTTTTCAGATTAAAATAAGTGGTAATTCTCTCCTCTCTGTATTAAAATATAATAACAATATCAAAAACAACACCAATCATTGCTATTATTATTAGCAAATTAGATGTCCAAAAATTTCTGTAAATTTCTGAAAATTTCAACAACAATTACCAATGCTGTTGTTATTATTATTATTAGCAAATTAGACTAATGACTAATAATAACTATCATTATTGTTATTATTATAATCCCCTATTTAAAATTAATTTAAGGTTTTAAGTAGGGCTGTCAAACGATTAATCGCATCTAAAATAAAAGTTTGTGTTTACATACAGTAATATATGTGGGTGCACTGTGTATAATTATTTTATATATATATATATATATATATATATATATATATATATATATATATATAAGTACACACACACACATGCTTGTATATATTTAAGAAATATTTTCATACTGTATATAGATTTATATATAATTTATATTAAGTCAAGTCAAGTCACATTTATTTATATAGCGCTTTTCACAATACAGATTGTATCAAAGCAGCTTCACAGTGATAACATGAAAGTAGCACAACACAGATCAACAACATTGCTAAACACTAAATAACCCCAACTGAGCAAGCTCAAAGCAAGCCAAAAGCAAGGCGACAGTGGCAAGGAACCAAACTCCATCAGATTGGATGGAGAAATATTACTAATATTAATAATATATAAATATTTTATATATAAATAATATTTTTTTCTTAAATATACATGCATGTGTGTGTATTTTTATATACTATATACAAAATAATTATACACAGTGCACCCACATATATTATGTAAACACAAACTTTTATTTTGGATGCGGTTAATGACGATTAATCGTTTGACAGCCCTAGTTTTAAGTCAGCTTAAATGTTGCCGTCTCTGGGCACAAATGCAACTTTTCAGTCCAATTGATATGCTGATAATATAACGTGCGATGAAAATGAGAAAAAATATTGCGTTTTCACAAGTGGCCTCACACTTTTCCTTTTTTTCCCTCCACTGTGAATCAGTCAAACGCTAATAAGAATGTTTTAAAATATTTGGGTTCAAAAACGGTTCCCTGTGATGATCTTTCCAGCAATGACGTTGCACTGAGCCCGGAGGAAAGCGAGAACACTGCTGTTCTTTCTGCTTTCACAGCCTCCGCATCATATAACAGACAGCAGTCCTGGGGCGGCCTTCTCCATTTCAGATTCTAAACTGCTGCTTTAGCACTCTGCCGCCGCCACGTCTCTATCTCTCCGTATCTCTGGAAATGTGCACGATGTAGGCAGCGACGATGGCTCGGGGTGTATCACAAGCCATTAGCTGCTCTGTGCCTGGGGTAATGTCACATTGAGAGCAGGCAGAATGGTAAGATTGAGTCTGACCTCCTGCTATAGAGCGTTACTACTCTCCAAGAGACGTGGTAAAGAAGACTCAAACATCCCTCTAACCGCTTCGCCTGGCTCGGAGCGTAATGCGTTTTAAAAGCTGCAAACAAAAGTGAACTCATAATTCACAGTGACATAACCTCCTGGTGGAGAGTCTCTATCGACGACACCATGCTGTGACGGGGGTCAGGTCTGACTCCACTGACCTAAATATGAAAGCACCTACACTCTGTATAATTTTTTTCTGTGAAACACGAAAGTAGACTTTTTTTATGTCTACATGCAGCTTTTTCCATACAACGACAAAAAGATTCAGTGAAAGTACAATGAAAGTAGTCTATTTGACTCTTTCTTTATGTGTAATATATTCCAAGTCTTCTGAAGTCACACACAATGCTATCTGGAAATGGGGAAAATATTATGCTTTTACTGGATTTTCTCTTTATTTAAATAATAATAATAATAATAAATTCTTACAATTATTGAGAGATATGCAAGCCAAAATGTGGCCATTTTTCTGAAAATATTTGAGACATTAATGACTGATATTACAAATATAATGGCCAATTACTATACTCACTTTCCAATTAAGTGTCCAAAATATCAGACTATATTTAGGTAAATAAATCATTTATTTATTTTAAGTTTATATTATTTAAATCTAATTATTTTATTTTAAATTTGTTTTTTATGCTATGTTTTCAAAATTATTATTATACGTTCATTTCAGTGATTTTGGATGTCTCATTCGCTAATAATAATCACAGTAATCACTATTGTTGTTTAATAATTATGATCAAAAAACGCATTATTATTATTTTATAAATATATGTAAAAAATAATAATAATAATTTTTTAACAGCTATTTTAGCCATTATTTGTTCCATGAAAGATTTGCATAAATATTCTGTATATAAATAAAAAATATATATACTTTTGTTTTTCTTTTCCACAAAAAATATGATATGTATATATAAAATGATATATATATATATATATATATATATATAGCATATACGTTTTAGATATGACAGTGAGTAAATATTAACAATTTATTATTATTAATTAATATATTAACTTTATTTGTGATTAAGACTGATTAATAACAATTTGCACATTCCTATCCATCACTAAAACATAAGAAGAAAAAAAAAAAAGACGGCTGATGTAAAGATGTATTTGAATTGTGAACCAATTGCCTAATGATTAATAAAGCTGCAATACTTGCAATGTTCTTTTTAGAAAAGCGAGCAGTCAAATTTGATTTAAACCCCACACGGCTGACAAAGTGCTTGCCTTTTTTTGTTAAAAACATCATCTCATTTTCTGTGCCGGGTTTAATGTGATGCCAGAGCTGTTAACCTCAGGTGGTCCCATGCCCTGCTCTCAGAGGTGAATATATTGCGATGGAGCTTGGCTTTGGCAGGATCTGCATAGAGGCCTCCACTGACAGATGCCAATCACAGTGATGGTTCCGTTTGGCTTAGCCCTTTTCCTGCCTGGAGTGTGCTCTGAGGCCAGCTGTCAATCAAAATCTCATACCGGTTCACCGCCTCGGCACGGACTAACTTTCACAAGCATGAAAACATGCAGAAGTTAACCAGCAGCACTCTCAGAGGCACGGGGAAATTTGCTACTGTGCTACACTTTCTGACTAGCAATTTCTTGTGGCGGATTTTTCCCTCGATTGTCATGGGAAATGGTAAAGAAAAGAAAAAAGAAAAACAAACGCTTTACAAACTAATGTGGCAGTACCATGGTTCAGTGATAGTTTCTGATTATTGTATTCTTACACCATGTAATTTGACTAAAACTTTAATGCACTTCAAAAATGTAACAACACCATGGAATTATCATTATTGTCCTTTTTTTGTACAATCACATCATACCTGTTTTTCGACAGTGCCTCTAACTGCTTGTGAAGTACTTCTCCATCCTTGGCTCTCAAAATGGCTTCCAGGTTTTCCTCTAGAACCTTCCTGCTCTGCCTGACCTGCCTCAGGACCAGTCCTGCATCCTCAAACATGGATGTGGGCGGCCGGATGCTCTTCAGAATGCTGGGTCTGTTTAAAGGAGCAGCCCTGACGGCAATCACATCAACCGGCTCTGGGGGCTGCGAGAGAGGAGGAAAGATTGAGAGATATTGGATGCATTTAAATGACTGTGTATATTTGGAGGGGGAAACAAACTGTCTTTGTAAGAGTGCCGCTCCAGAGAATAAATATGATAAATATGTTTAATGGAATGCTGCTATGAGCCATTAGGGGTGGGTGAGCGCTGCTCTTGTTTTTTTTTTTTTTTTTTTTTTTTCTCAGAAGCATTTTCAGGACTCAACAATTAGGATTTTTTTCTGCTGACAGACCAGTAGTTCAGATTTGTATTTGCTTTACCAACATTTTGACAGATCTCAATTCAGAAGAGATCTTATTACTAATAAATAGTTGTCTTGTGATATACTTAATTATTATTATCATTTAGAATAAATATTAAATGTAAATAATTATATTAGGCATTTTTTTAAGGTTTTTAAAATAAGTATCTTCCAACAAGTTAAGCCAGCTCATTTCATTTGAGGAAACCCATTGTCTCAATTCATTTAAGTTTATAAAAACAATAGTTATGAGTAGTCTGAACTTATTTTATTCGAGTTCACTAAAACAATAATATTTCTTAAAACACAATTAAACTTCACATTGCATTTAATACTGTATATAGCTGAAACTTCAATTTATTGAGCAAAAACATTGTATGCTCACCAAGGTTGCATTTATTTGATAAAAAATAAACTGAAAAAAATGTGAAATATTATTCCAATTGAAAAAAAAACATTTTCTATTTTAATACATTTCTAAAATGTAATTAATTCATGAGACGTCTCAGCTGAATTTTCAGCATTACTCCAGTCTTCAGTGTCACATGATCTTTCAGAAATCATTCTAATATGATGATTTGCTGCTCAAGAAACATTTATTATTATTATTATTATCAATGCTGAAAACGGTTGTGCTGCTTATATACTGTATTTGTGGAAACTGAAATACTTTTTAAAAAGAACAGCATTTATTTTTTCATTATAAATGTGTTGACTGTCAATTGAATGCATTATAATTAAAAATTAATCAATAAAAAAAAAGAAAAACTGGCCAAACTAGATTTTCCACTAAAATATTAAGTTATAACCTATTTTAAATTATGATCTATCAAAAATCATTCTTGCAATTTCAACAAAACTCAATCTATAATAGCCACAAGGATGATGTTACCTTTTGTGATGGACTAAATCAGCATAACTTGCAACAACATGTCTAATACACAACAGAAAACCATACGTTTAAGTTTGCAAAGAATAAACACACATTTACATTTAACAAATATATGTAAGCAATAGGTAAAGTGACAGTACCACCAAACCAACTACCCCATTTTTTTCTCAAGTTACTATAGAGAGGAATGATCATCATTGCTCATCCAAACTGTGTTGTATTAAGGTCTGATACTGTCAAATTATATCTACGCAATTGCATGTTTCGATCCCGAAAATGGTGTGAAACGTGCGCTAAGAGTTCACGGTCAAATACAGGCGACTGCTGCACGAGCCCCGTGTAAATTTCGCCCCGAACCGCTGCGTCTTTCCCTGTAGTATACGTGTCACGTTCCTTCTCGGCAAGCACGAAAGTGGGCAGCCGAGCGAGGGTCCTTGGCTGTCTCTCCCTCTCATCCTCTCCTGAATATAAATCTGTCGGAGAGCTCCATAAATCCATTACATGGGACGGCAGATGCTGCTCTGGCAGGCTCGCCTTGACGAGGGACTCTCTAACCTCAACCCTGTGCTCCTGTCAAACGTTCAGCTACATCCGAGGCACTAGAATACTATTAATCAGGCACTTCCATAGATTTTCTCACAGCAGTACTTTCTGTCCTCATAATATACTGGGTAATATTAAGCAAAAAGGGCATATGGGGCACATTCTCACAACGTTTACAAGATGAACGGCGTGAGTTTTGTTTGGTTAAATCATGCAGTGTGTGTAATTCACATAATTCAACATTTCGAACACATACGAATTGGAATCGAAATCGGTGGATGCAATTATTGACTCGGGCAAAAGAAAGAGAAACAATCCTAACCTAAATTTGCTGCGGCTACGTTTGGGAGGGGTGCCGCGCGTTTATTCTGAAGCCCAGGTGTAAACGAGCGATAACACTGATTTATCGAAGCGGTCTCTGAATAACAGCAGGGCTGAAAATTGCAAGGATACAAAAGTACAATTGTGCCGTTCTGTTGTTGTGGATAGAAACTGCACAAAGGAGAAGGGCTCGTAAACCTGGAAGTGCGGAGGATGGGGTTGCCATGGGAACCTACCATGGAGACGGGGGTTGTGGAAGGAGGCGGAGGCGGGGCCGTGGCGGAGGGGGCGAGATGGCTGCTCCTGCTGATCTGGGTCGACTTGGCATTCTGCACAGGAAACGCATCAGCAGTCTGGAAGGACATGGATCGAGATGGAGAGACTTGGTAGCAAACTACTAAATTGAGTTTTGACTATACAAATAAGCAAAAGTCACTGAATGAATAAATGCTACGGTTTAGCACCAGAGGCAAATTGTGATACCTAAAAAACACTTTTTTTTTCTTCACAAAATGGCCAAAATTTTAGGATATTGCCAGCAGGCACATAAAAGAGTGCAATGTGAGTGACATTCCATTAAAACAGGCCAGGCAGTGAGACTAGTGACTTGGCTGCCTCAGTTCGAGAGAGAGAGAGAGAGAGAGAGCGACTCTCTGACAGCGGCCAAAGAGAATTCAAATCCTGCATCCTCAATTATATGCTAATGTGTCATTTGCTGTATGTTACATTATTCTGGGCTGATGGAATTTTTCAGCCGCAAAGACGTGCCTGGAAACTCAATGGCTTATTGGGAGAGAGAGGGTGACAGTAATGGATGGAAACAGGCAGTGGCACATTTGGTAAGAACGAAGAAGCGTTGTAATTTATTAGTGTGGGTGGCAAAGGGAAGAAACAATTGAAAAAATTGGTGTCTGGTCAGTGAGCCACGAATGTCTCGGATCTGTGTCTCGGCTTGATTTCACCAGTGGTCCCTCTCCAATTAGATTAACTCGATCTGGAGCTCAACACTTGGACTGTCATTGGGCCTCTTTAAATGACCAGAAACCTGCTGATCAATGGTAAGAGTTGGACAGGGCATATGCTTGTGTAATTATTGTCCAGTATACAATAGAAATTTGTCCGTTTGACAATATCATTTATAGCAGTAGATTCTATATTTATACATACAGAATATCAGTAGAGTCTTATAGTAGAGTCGTACAGTCTGGGTGGGTGGATGGATGGGTGAATGGATGGATGGATGGATGGATGGGTGGGTGGATGGATGGGTGGATGGATGGGTGGATGGATGGATGCATGGATGCATGGATGGGTGGATGGATGGATGGATGGATGGATGGATGGATGGATGGATGGGTGGGTGGATGGATGGATGGATGGATGGATGGATGGATGGATGGATGGATGGATGGATGGGTGGATGGATGGATGGATGGATGGATGGATGGATGGATGGATGGGTGGATGGATGGATGGATGGATGGATGGATGGATGGATGGATGGATGGATGGATGGATGGATGGATGGATGGATGGATGGATGGATGGGTGGGTGGATGGGTGGATTGGAGACACCAGATATTTTTGGTATTTTTTACTAAAGGGTGCTGGACACTATAGTTAATTTATGTAAGTGAGGATAGCAAAATAATGTAAACTGTGACATATTATACCCAAAAATTCTTCATACAGTGGACTACCAGTAAAATACTGCTAATGCTAATGCTTTTTACACCACAGACTGAACAAAATTAAAGGAGTAGTTCACTTTTAAAAAAAACTTTTGCTGATAATTTACTCACCCTCATGTCATCCAAGATATCCATGTCTTTCTTTCTTCAGTCGAAATGAAGGTTTTTGATGAAAACATTCCAGGATTATTCTCCATATAATGGACTTCATTGGGAACCAAACGGTTCAAGGTCCAAAAGACACTTTCAGTGCAAACTGTTCAAAGGGCTTTAAACGATTCCAGACGATGAACAAGGATCTTATCAAGCGAAACGATCGCTCATTAAAAAAATAAAAATAAAATAAAGTTTAAGTTTTATAAGCTCAAATGCAAATCCTCTGTTCTGTGATGCGTGTTCGTGACTCTCCTGTTCAAACTCGTTCATCAAAATGAACAAATCTTTTCTTGTGTAATTTGGTTCATTCAATGAACGAAATATTCCGATATTGACTCGGAAAAAGATTTGTTCATTTTGATGAACAAGCTCGAACAGGAGAGTCGCGAACACGCATCACAGAACAGAGCAAAGCAAGCATTTGAGCTTATAAAACTTAAAATTTTTATTTATTTATTAAATGAGCGATTGTTTCGCTAGATAAGACCCTTATTCATCGTCTGGTGTCGTTTAAAGCCCTTTGAACAGTTTGCACTGAAACTGTCTTTTGGACCTTGAAAAAAATCCTGGAATGTTTTCATCAAAAACCTTTATTTCTTTTCGACTGAAGAAAGAAAGACAATAAAGAAAATAAAAGTTTCTTTAAAAGTGAACTACTCCTTTAAGCATTGCTTGGTAATTGGTTGACCTCAATTGGTCTTATCTAATTGTGTACTTAAATTTAACAGCTGACAGATATTCAATCAAATTCATTTGTGAGACAGTCTAACAGAAGGATGGCCAAAACCAGTGAAATATCAACTGATTTGATAAGTATCAACTGAGTTTTTGTCATATTTTAATCACCATTTTCTAAATTATAGCAAATAAACTGTGATGTATGAATACATTTAGGTTTGACTGTAGACAGACAGACAGACGGATGGACGGAAAGACGAGGCTATTTTGTCTGCATGCTACAAAATCCACACGACAAAGCCAATTTTTGCCATCGAGCTGTTTGAGAATATTGACAAATTAGTAGAAGACGGCAATTTCAAGTTTTAATTGGTTTGGCCAAGACTGATAATGCCACTGCAGAGAAACCAAAAGCAGGACTATCAGAGTGTGAAAGTTAGCAGAGATTTCTAAATCTCACCTGCATTAGACTCCTCATCTCATTTTTAATCTGCCCCAGATCCTGCAGCATCTGATTGGCTCTTTGCACGACCGAGCTGGACGACGCCACATGTATATGTTCTCCTTGGTTCTCCTGTTCGTTCTGTGGATTCATGAAAGCTGGTTCTTCTGTAAGAACAGCAGATGCTTCAGGTGGCGTCTGGCTTGTCCTGAGAAAAATAAATGCAGCGAGGTGTCAAATTTATTACATTAGATGCAATCATGCAAGAAGCCAAATTATGTACCCTTTTCCAATATGCTCTCCTTGATCAAACTAGGAATGTTTTAAACCAAAATTCCAATTTGCTTGTCCGATGTTAAATCTGATATTACAACTAAATTGAATTTCAATTTCAGAACTGACACAAGTTAGAAGCGAACACTTGGCGATCTCATGGACTTCTCAAAATGCATCGAACTATTAGTATTATTCAACGTGAATTACCATATGAAGTTCAGCTTAAGGACACAGAGGTCATCCAGCAGTGATGTTCACCTTATTCATCAGAGGATGAGCGCGCACCCTGAAACACTGCCGGAGGACGTCCGCTAATTTGCCTCCCGCAGACTGTCTGAACAGCTCAGCGTTTACACCACATTTCACACGAGCAGTACAAGGCGTAAAACCCGAATCACCTCAGATTGAAGCTGAAATATGTATTTATCCTGGCACATCTGCGCTCTGTACCGAAGGGGCCTGAGGGGCCTCAGCTGAAGCCAGGGGTTTATCGTGTTCCAGCCAAGGGCTTTTAGTCTGGACTGTTTTCACAGTCTTAGGTTGCCAGTCAATCTAACGTTACTGCGAAGGCCATTTCTCCAACACTACAGTGCTTGTCTAATGTTGAGGCTATTAATCACACGGAGACGGGTTCAGTTTGCCAAGATCATGCTAACCAATTTGAAATGATTCAAAAGACACTTTTCAGGCGGATCACACCCTTGACATACTGGAAGCAAAAGAGGTACGCATTTAAACAGGATGTTAAAGTCAGGTGAAGGTTTGCAAATCTTTTGGGGTGAATTTCACCAAAACATGGCAGTCATATCTCACATCAAAATGCATGTATTTCATGTAAACAAAACAACGCTTATATTTATGTCCAAAAATTTTGCTTTGATATATTATTTTTAGATAATTAAGTGCAAGTTCTCCTAAATTCTCTATACAACAACACTGAATACAAATGTATATATGAAGAGTTCAGATGCAAAAGCCTCTAAATGCCATTTGAAATTTTCTTCTTTAATGATGATTTTTGTCAAACTTGTATAATTAAGTTTAGTAATTTCACTTAAATGACAATTAATAGGTAATTATCATTGCCATTTAAGTGAAATCACTGAACTTAAATATACAAGCTTGATAAAAATGATCATTCTAGAAGAAAATTTCAAATGGCACTTAGAGGCTTTTGCATCTTAACTCTTCATATATATATATATATATATATATATATATATATATTTTAATTTATGGGTGACATGTCACCTGGACATGTCCTTCAAAATTGTTAAGATTCAGGCCATGAAATTCTTCCCATCTGAAAAGGCAGGATCAGTGTTGGTCTGAGAGATAAATGTCGTCCTGTGGGTTAATATGGGTTTCATGTTTCTCTGATTGCTTTTTCCCACAGGTTGGCTCTTATCTCCTTGGACAGGCTTTTTTTCCTCTTTTTCGTTTTTTTTAAGGATCCTTGTTCTCTTTTAAAGTCCTGGAGAGAAAGGAAACCTGTCATGTGAGAATGCACACCGAGGAAAATAAAGTGCTGAGCTTGATTACTTTATTTAGAGAGTGAGAAGCTGGTGGCACAACAAAGGGGAGAAGGAAATTCAAACAAAGAGGAGATGGCAAAGAAATACAAAGCGTGATAAAAATGAAAAGGGACGAGCAGGAAACTGGAACAAGCAAGAAAATGAAATGAGATACAGAGAGACAAAGAGATAGCAAGGGAGGGACAGAAACTGCTTCCCAGAGCTGCCTTCAAAACAAAGGTCAGAGCTGAAAGACAGACAGTGTCCAGTCTCAAGGACCGGGCACATGGTGTGCGAAGAGTGCCGTCGAACGCCAGCCTTCAAATACAATATTTCTGAGGCTTGCAGTACGAAACGGTTAATAAGCATCTACACGCTTGCTTTCATCAACACTCCGACGCACACAGTAACGTGTCTATTTACTCCACTTCACACAGAGAGAGCCATTCATTCTGCCTGTGCACAAAGAACAGAAGGCAGAAGAATCCCAGGCAATTATGCATCGCAGGCACTGAGAGTGTGTTAGAGAAAACTGTGCAGGGAAGCAAGTTTAATCTTGCCATGTGCAATATATACAGGACCCTGAGATGCTATCGACTTTTATTAATGGAATCGTTTCCTTTATTCATAGGTTTAAAGAGAATAAGAAATATTTGTGGTGCTTTTGGGGTGGTGATGGCGCAGTGGATACGAAGACACATGCCTTTGGTGTGAGAGACCCGGGTTCGAATCCACTGTGAGACACCAATTTGTCCCTGAGCAAGACACTTAACTCCTAGTTGCTCCAGAGGCGTGCGACCTCTGACATATATAGCAATTGTAAGTCGCTTTGGATAAAGGCGTCTAAATGTAATGCTTTTAACTTGCATAACGTGATTTATTTCAGACAGAAAATAAATAGCAGGAAATATGAAGTGTGGTATTTGAATTTGACATTGCTCATACACAGATTTGAACAAACCCGTATTCTTAAGTGCAATACTTAAATGATATGATACCTAAAACCATGCGGCTTGTTCAGGAAAGCGATACAACTTCAGATTTTCACTTGTTAAAAGACTTTTACCTTCAAAATCACTTTTGAAGTGGCATTTAGGTGTCTTTAGTACACAATCTATACATAATGTTGCTCAGAAGTGGCATAAATACATTTACACAGTAATTCAAACTGGATTCTTTGAAAATAGTGATTGAGGAGAGTTGGAGCTCTGGCTTTTATGCATTAAAGGTCAATTACGTCTTTACACAGAATTCTGAGAAGGCACAAAGCATTTTTAACTTAGATGTGTAAAGATGTATTGAATGAAGGACCAGAGCCATATCTAGTGACTAGAATATCATAGACACTTGTGTTAGTAAGCAAAAACCTAGAAACCATAAGTTTCTAGAAAATATCCACAAAACATGGCATTGTGGTGTCGAGTTATACATGGGCTCTGTCATATTCTGTGACTTTTTCCTAAAGAGTAAGAGACCTCATGCATTGCGCTGTGTGAAATAAAGACAGGAACCGTACATTCACGTTGTTTCCACACTCTTTTAGGATAATGTTTTAATGTGACATGTTTTATCTGTCATGTGTACTGTATGTTGCTGTGCTGTTAGTAATTATGAATGGATCCGTGTACTGTAGTATATGCAGTCAAGTCAATGCAGTTGGTTCAGTTTTTTTGGCAACTCTATGTGGTCCTGTTCGGTATTGCAACTTGACTTGTCTAAAATGAAAACAAGTGCTTTGCTTGTGCACTGTAAACATATTAAACACTATGAATTGGTTTCGGTTTTCTGTAAGGTTTTTTTTTTTCATGTGTGCTTTGGTGTGGATACATAATGTAACCCTGGACATTTTTTTTTTTTTTAAATTAAGATGTATACAACTCGAAAGCTGAATAGATAAGCTTTCCATATGGTTTGTTAGGATAGGATCATATTTGGCGGATATACAACTATTTGAAGGTCTGGAATCTGAGGGTGTAAAAAAAAAAACCCCGAAAAATATTGAGAAAATCGCCATTGAAGTTCGCGATTGTGCAGCATTCATTTTGCATTCAATCATTTTCTCACAAAAATTAATATTTTATATATTTAGGGTAGGAAATTTACTAAATATCTTCACTGAACGTGATCTTTACTTAATATCCTAATGATTTTTGGCATAAAAGAAAAATCGATTTTATATTAACTTTTGCCACAAATATAACTGTGCTACTTGTGACTGATTTTGTGATCCAGGGTCACATTTATGAATTATATGGACTCCTTATATCATTTGGTTTTTAGGTCCTTTTGGGCTCTCCAAGTGTCCTTTTTTGGGGAGGCATCTAAATTTACCTTTACATTTTTTTTGCAGAAAATACAGTTTTGTGAGAATCACCCTTCAATCTGCTGGATGGTTTACTTTGCTGGATATAGCAAATGATGACAAAATGAACACGTTAAACAAGATAAAATGGTGTACGCTTAATTTCACGACAAAGGTACGATTTAAAATTGTAAAAAAGTAAAAAAAAGATTCATTATTAACTTATTATTAAAAATAAAAATCATGCAATAATTCATCTTAAAATAAGAAAATAGAAATAAACAAATTGAAGTTAAAGAAAAATCAATGTAAAAATAAAAAAAGCACTAACATCAAAAACACTGAAAGAGAAATGATTTATAAAAGGATATAAGCTGAATAAAAAAAAGTGCGGAAAAGTGCAGACAAATCAAACCAGGTCAGTCAAGCAGCAGTTCAAAACTAGAGCAAACAAAACACAATTTCAACCTGCATTCATCCTGAATTACCGACAGTCGACGCTTCCAAACATCACAAGACAAGTAAATTGTCCTTAAATGATGGATATGATACAGACGAAACATCCGAAATCTCTCAAGGTTAACCGTCTGATGTCGGAAAGCCTGCTAACCCGAGAGACAGTGTTGTGTTTGATCCACTGCTTGGCAACAGACGCACAACAGGCAGATGCATTAGACATCCGTCTCATCAGAGCAGCCTTTCTGTCCCCAGGTTTCATTTACTGACAGGAAGCCAGGGAAGGAAACAGGTGCTTTTTTGTGCCTTTTAGGAGCTTTGCAATAAATAAACATGAAGGCGAGAGCAGTGCTGCATGGGGCGGCAGTTGTCCTGATGTATTCCACACAGCACACTTCCCTCAATCAGCCTTAAGATGCCACAAAAGGAACTAATCCATTTGAAGAGGAAGATGTCAGGCGTTTTGATCTCGCTCAAATTGATTAGGGTGTAGATACGGATAGGCAGGGGAGGAGAACGCCCAGCTAGAGGTCACGCAATGCTAATGTCTCCTTCAATGAACAGCGCTTCAATTTCTGAGCTACAAAATGAGTGCCCGTGTTTGTGTTTATGCTGAGGATTCATTCTAAAAATGAGCACGGATGTCCTTTTGATGCACTG